ACACATACATATATATATATATATATATATATATATATACATATACATACATACATACACACACAAATATATCTCTCTATCTATCTCGCACCCTGGAATTATAAATATTCAAACTCACATTAGTATCATCCATTGCCTTGCAAGGAGAAATTTATCAATTAATGAATATTCCAGTCAAAACATCTAGGTAGACTAAACTTACCATGGTTTAAAGATTACAACAAAATAGCTTTATTGTGACATCACATACTATGCCACCGATTATTTATTATTTAGAAAATATTTTACAAGGAAGGATACATTGAGATTTCTCTCGTTTTCAAGTATGTCCTGGGTTCTCAAAACATTGCATTGATACAATAGGGTGCAATAAAATACAAAAACAATATTAATACACAATATATACAAAATGTAACATGGAACAGGTAGGAAATATATAATCAATCATGACAGGTGCATTCTGTTTTGAGATATGTAGAGAAAGATGTCATTTGCTAAATTATATGTTTTCACCCTTAAAAGGCACACTATAGGCACCTAGACCTCTTCATCTCATTCTTCGAGTTTAACTTTGTGAAACCACATTGGATGTCTTCATACTTTGCATGAAGACATCTAATGTAAACAAAGGGTTTTTAACCTTTTATTCACAAAGGGTGGGGGTGGGGGGGCAGATCTAAATAAATAGGGGTACAAGAACTTTAGGAAAACAGGTTTGTATTCCTAACGCTAGTGTTCCTTTAATGCTGCATCTTGCACACTCACTTGTGCAAACATGCAGAAACACTTAGCATGTGGGAGTGCATTGGGCTGAAGTTGTAGATATAACTACTCTAACGACACATCCCAATAACCATGTATTCAACTCCCATCATGTAGAGCAGTGGTTCCCAACACAGTCTTCAAGTGCCCTTTAACAGTCCAGGATTTAGGGATTACCCAGTTGATTCTAAAATCCTGGACTGGTAGGGAGCACTTAAGGACTGGGTTGTGATCCATGATGTAGAGAAACAAATCCCTACCATCTGGCCCAAACAGCACATACACATCTACTATTAGAGTGAGAGGTCATGGGAAATATGATGCTGGAATCCAATGTCTTTTTCTACAAGAAAAAGTATTAGGGACTTTATACATGGATTACTTTTCAAAATATTTTAACTAGAGTGGAAACTACTCTAAAGAAAATGGGTAGTAAAAAAAGGGTTACTCCAACATTTTTATTTATAAATACCTCATTGAAATCATGCCAATTATTTCCCCAATCCTCTTTGTGTAACACAGGATAAAAAAATTAGGTGACATCCAGCAGTGGGGGCCAAGTTGTCTGAGAACCTTTCCATGCCCTCTCCAACATCACCTTGTGTCACCCGATGCCTTTCTGCAGCCCAATCAAATGCCTCTCTAACAGAAGCATTGTTTGACCTTGGATGATAGCCATGACCCACCTATCAGCTTCATCTGGTAGAGAAGCACCGAATTCAATCCTTGATTAGATGCAGTGAGCGCCACACTGTGTATACATGCGGAGTCTGCATTCACGAGAGACAAGTGGATTTGATGTCCAGCTCATCTTGCAACTTAAGCCTGCCTGCCACCCTAATCTAGAGACTCCCCCAAGCCAGAGCGTCGTCAGTAGCATCTTTTCCAAGGAACCATAAAGTAATAGAATCGAGAGATGTGGCTGCACAGAGAGGGTGGGGAAGACATCTAGGTGCATAAAACATAATGTAGGGATTTGTAGAGGGATAGGACGGGTGGCATTTGTGAAGGAGGGAATAATTCCACAGTACAGGCTTCTCCGTTCAGGCTTGCTCAAAACACTTCGTAAAAGCAAAGAGAACGTTACCTGCGCTCTGGCACAAATCCCTATGTACATTTAAACGAAATGGCAAGGACAGCTGCAGGAAGGCGTTTCCGGGTATAGACCTCAGCAGAGTGGCCATCCTGAGAACCAGGCCTCAGCCCCTCGGCTCAGCCACAGGATGGATTGTTTGTCGACAGAACCTTGTCAATAAAAAAGTGGGGAAAGGGATATCTCCCCTTCCCCCCCCCCCTCGCCGGTCTAAAGGGGGAAGGGGACCTTAAACAGGTATGTGACAGATCAATACTAAGCAGCGGCTGCCTCCCTCTGCATGTGGCTGTAGGCGCAGGAAAATCAAGCATGGGCTTAGAGCGCCAGATGCAGGCAGACAATTCGCTTATAATCAGCAGGATACTCCCGGGGGTGACATGCATGGTTTGTGACTAAAATTAGGCTAGCAGTGTTGAGTTTCAGACTCCTTAAGTTGATTCCCCCGAGGAGCTCCAGAGTCATGTGACCATCCTAGTACGTTGTCAGGCCCTGCCCCTGCCCCGAGTGATCCTCACAAATGTGATGGGCAGTTTTACAATTCACTGTTAACAATTTATTCAACGTAATCGGCATTCATTTTCACAGAAACATTCACACAATTTGCCCTGATACTGCTCCGTGGATTAGAACCAAGCACCATCATGCAGATTACACAATTTGTATATAATTTTTCACCTCGTTTTCAGTGTGAAGATCCACCTCACCGACACATTGCATGGAGCGGAAGAAGCTGCTGAATTGTTCATTGATTTTTTCAACTAACTGCTTCAAAGGATTGAGCCAACGTTCTTTCACCTGTAATACAAAGACCGCAGCAACAGTAATGAAACATATTTAGAAGATGTGATACGATGACCAACATTTACTATGGAAGCTCAACAACATTAAGCTGTAGTTATTCTGGTGAATATAGTGTCCTTTTAAGCTTAATTCAAATTTTAATACTACCTAGAAGATAAACTATAAATTTCTTCATGGCCTGTGTAGATTTTAGGGGTTCCAATAAGTCAATAATCTCTCCAAAAAGCACCTCTATGCTGATGCTAGAGTAGTAAGTGGAAATCTAACAATGCATGAACATGTGAATTATAGATTTAGTGGACATTTAGTGAAAACAATCTTAATGATGAAATCTACAAAAGTTTTACCATGTAATTTTTACATGTCATATACATGTTAATATTTTTCCTTTGACAACCACAATCGGCTCATACTGGTTAAGTTTCATGTTCTTACAAGTGTAATTTTTCATCTGGGGACCAAAATTCAGGTATAAACTTTACTACAGTTAGGTAAAGTTAGCAGCATAAAACATTACCAAACAGCATATCATATTACACACAAAGATATTGCAGACTATTTTCTGCATAAGTACATGCAGCTAATATCTGCCATTTGAAAATGTGTTCCTTTTTGACACTGGGGTATATTTAGATACCCTGCAATATCCAAAAGTGAGGCTACTGAACGAGGTTTTCTTTCCACTGTATTTTGCGTATACTTACAGGTTTGTCTACAAACACATTTAATAGATACATATGCAATACTCTCACATTGATTGCATCTCTTAAAAACTGTCCTAGTAACACATTGGGCACCACACTCAATGTTAAAAAGAAACAGAAATTAGGTGCTTGCTATATACTTGGAGGCAGCAGTCAATCTTACAAGGATTCCCCAATATACTGTCAAAGTCCACCATCATTACAGCTGAATATATCCTGTGACGGCGATTGTACCGTCTACGCTTAACACAGCAGAGCTCTCTGTAGCTCTATAAATTGTGAGTGAGCTCTCGTTACAGCACTTTATTTTATTTTGTTAAGGACATGTTGCACTATTATTGTCTTTTTTTCCCTTCTCTTTGAGATATCACACACTGTATAACAGACAAAGACCCTATAGACAAAGTACGTATATAGGATTTACATGTGATTTCACCTATGGGCTTTATTATCTTCTAGGCGCGGTAATCTATTTTTTGTATTTGACCACACAGTGCATCTACCTGTGAAATATTCTGCTTATAGTCATCCAACTCATTTCTTTTCTGGTCAAGTTCTACTGTCAACTGTTTTATTTCTTCTGTTCGTTTGTTGTACTCTGCAACAACCTAAATAAAAAATAAATAAAAAAAACACACTGCATCTTAGAATGAACTGGAAACCAGCAAAATATTTAAATACATGCTACTTGCATTATTTTTGGATGCTTCTTAAAAGCAAAAGTAGGATGGAAATTACACATGGCAACGCAACCAAATGACATTTGTCAGGTTAAGCACAGTATTTTTGGTGAGGAAAAAAAAATGAGAACAGTATGTTCTGTTCTTGTTTAAAGACTCTACTTAAAATTCTAATAGAGTCAAATTCTGGCATTTAAAGCATATTGTTCCTGCTGTCTAGCTTATTATTACCAAGAGCTCTAATACAGCGTGGGAGGGCAACTACAATCCCAAAAAAAAAAAAAAGACAACGTACTGAAGCATTAAAGCTTGTGAAGCAAGAGGCTCTGGATCGTTCCTCGTTTAGCACAGAATCTATTTCATCCAGTGTATTAGGAAGAGCCTGGAAAGCCTATGAAGGAGAAAAGAAAAAGTGTCTGATAATTAGTGTCAAATAGAAACACATTGAATGAATTCAAAATTAGTGGTGATAACATCATGACTGAAGAGAACAATGTAACACCACGTTCTGAGAAGTCGAAGAAGCTAGCACATTTTGGAGCATGCAGTTATTTTTAATTTAAGGGAAAAAAGTGCTCAACATAAGAAAAAAATCCACATTGTTCACTGTAAGTGCAAATTAGCAATAATAAAACTAAAACAACCTAAGCTTATGAACAAACCATCATTCACTAGGAAAGTGCTTTATTCAAATGGAAAGGCCAAGCATAAATACAGAGTACAAAGCAATGATAAAACATGCCTGGCATGTCACAAATGTATTCACTCAGAAATCAATCGTCTCTGAGCAAATGAGGACAAACAGATAAAATGTTAAAGGAAAACTATAATGCCAATTTAACCCTTGCACCACCAAGTGAAAAAAAATAAAATAAAAATAGAATTACCCGATTCCAGTGCTGAGTCTCTTTGCACTGGGTTCTGCTCTTCCTCCACCAATGTCAGCCTTTGGAGGGACCT